TTTAAGTAAACTGAAGAATTCTTCTTTTGAGAATAGTGTTAGAGCATGTGTTTCCTAAATATAATATAAAAAATATTAGCAGTTTGTAAATAATTGTAATTGGCCGAGTATTCACATTAATTCATGATATTTAATTCTATAATCATAATTTCCAGGAATTGACCTGGGTTGCTTTTAGTGTGAAGTATATAAATATACTGTATGTGCCAAACTGACTGCATCTATGAACATGTAATATTTTCTAATGTGACATAGCTAGAGGCTTTTGCTGTGAGAAGGATATTTCAGTTCCTTACATCACTGCCAACCAAATTAAAACTGTATAAATAACTTTCCACATTTTGTTCACCTTTCTTGTTGATTTTTCTGAAATTGCTTTCACATTGGCAACATTTTTTCTTTTAAGTTTGTCTTTCCTCTCAACTGAGAAACTAATAATTGCTACTTCTACCAGAGCTGCCCCAAAAGTTAAATAAAGATAGAAGCTTGACCAAGTATTTATTAGCGCATAACAAATACTCAGCGGTAATGAAAATGTTCATTAAAATATTTGTCTCAGACAAATTATTCACAAAGAATTGCTTAAATAACTTTACATTATATATTTGTCTCTTAAGAATGAAGTATTTTTGAATCACTTCTACCTTTTTTTTAAACTTTGGCAATTCCTCTACAACTGTGCACATTATTAGAATTCATGACATTTTTAGCTGTTATTTATATTTAGTGCATCCATATACTTAGTACATGAGTGGTAATATGACTAAGCAAAATGTAACTAATACTGATATTTGGCAACAACGTTGTTATTAACACATAGCTTTCTCATTTAAGATATTTTCAGAGGCTTCTGGAACATTGTCCTCAGTTAATATAACCATTTCCCTTATCTACATAATAATATTTCAGAATTATGTCAGTCACATTTATTATTCAAAATCCTGAAATAATTAACAAAGTGCCAGTAAATGTATTTCCATGGGGTTGCTATATACTTTTTTATATATAATTTCTTTTCTCATATTGATGTTAATTTTTGTATATTTGATTTCTCCCCACATGGCATATAATTCTCCTACCACAATGGCATATAATTTGTACATTTTGGTGAATGTATTTAACCAGGTGGTTTTTGATTTCAAAGTAAAAAAGCTGATGTCTTATTTGTAAGCCTCGGAAGAACTACATGATCTGGGCATGCCTACTCCAAATCCTCTCAAGTTTTCTGCTATTTGTCTTCACTTGCTGGCACCAGTCCCTGGGCCTCTTGGCTGCACTTCACCCTAGAAGCTTTATATTGGCTTCCCTCTGTCTGCAGTATTCTTCCCTAATTAATCTACAAGGCTAACTTCCTCACTTGCTTAAGTACTGTATCTTACATCACTCTCTAAGGTCAACTACCCATTCACTATAATTACTAGAATCACCTTAGTATACCTTCAACTCCTTTAAAGTATTCTTTTATTCTTCCTTGAAATGCTTTTGACATTTGCTTCCTGATACATGATGAAAAGACCATGAATACACATACTAAGTTCTAAAGGCATAGATTGATTTTGACTTCTGTTTATTGAATATGCATAGCCTCCACCAGAAATATATGTGCCCTTTTTTGAAAGAAAAGCACACTGACATATGGAAGTGATGTTCTAATACTCCAACACTTAAGACTTAAATAATAAACCCATTTCTTCCTCCCCCCCCCGAAAATTTAATCTGTTTTGCCTCAGAGCATATAAGCTCATTCACTTATGTTTTCTTCGTCATCTCTGGTTAGTTTAAATAATCAAGTCTATTGACTACGCCAGCACAGGAAAGGTGGAATGGTTTACACAGAATTGTCCAAGTAGTTGGTAGAGCTGCTAAGAAAAGCTCCCAAATGTTCTCTGTGTTCAACACATCATCTCTTGTGGAGCTGTGTTGTAGGTGCTCACTACTATCTCCTTCCCTTATTTTATACCCAATGTCAAAAGAAATGAGAAGGTAAATTTAAAAATTAACCAGACTTTTCATAACTTTCTTGGCCTTTCAATTTGAAATGAAAAATATTATTTTTAGAGAATGAGAAAGTGAGCAAAACAGATTTAGACCTTTATCTACTGAAGCATATTCTATGTCTCTGGCTGCAGTTTTAGTGAGCATATTTGAAAATGGCTGTAACTAAATATTGTCAGTATGAAAGAAACAAGTTACAGCAGGTGAAAATAACATGATAGCATGTAGCAAGAAAGGTGATAGGAGAAAGCTGTCTAATTTTGGCCTATTGGAAAGACTATGGATTTTCCTTCCAACTCAGCAGAAATTTAGCTTTAAGATCATAGTAGCAGCTCTCTTTTCTGTTTGGAGATTTAAAGTTATAGGTAGCTGGACCAGTTTAATACAATACAGGTCCAACTATGACTAATCCAATAAGTTATTAATTTTGCTACTACTGATGCTGCCATCTACCTTCTTTCGATGTGTACATTGGTTCTTGGGATCATAGGCGCCCATCTGTGAATAGTTATGAATCTTCTGAGACCTAAAGAATCTGAATATTTAAAGACTTTTGCATTGTTATGGTAGCTAAGAAAGTCAAGAAATTTAGGTTTCTTCCTCTTATAATTAGTTGATCAAACCTATTCTATTTTCCCTCTTTAGTGGCAATTGTTCAAACTTGAAGAATAATTTCTCTTTGAACCTAGTTAACATTTTTTAAGCTACATCTGAGTTATTATTTTTTCCTTCATGATATAGGAGAATCTAAAGAAAAAAACAAGGTAACAAATATCCTAACAAATATCTAAAATTTGTTAGAGTGGTTGCTCATTTTACCCAGTATACTTTCAGGTAGCTAAAAGCATAGAAATATATTTATTTAGTGAGATCTTTAAACCTTGAAAACTATATTAGATATATTTGAAAGAAAGTTTCAGGATTTTTATTCTTTAACCAGAATATTGTGAATTTTGGAAAAACTACTTACTAGATCATTTTATCCTTGCTAGTGGAACTTATTTTTCTCTCAGTTTGGCCTCTCCATCACAGATTAAAATTTTAGTCACAATTAAAATATATTGTAATGTTAAGTATCATGTATCTTCAGATGATAAATAATTATCAGGGAAAAATGAAGTTTTCTTCTGTCTTCAACATCCCCTCTCCTACCCACCTGCCTCCTGCCCCATATGGAATTGCCTAATAACTTTGATAATCACTCTGTAAAGTCACGTTCTTGAAGTCTGATGGTCTTATTGTTCAATTGCTTTGGCAAAGCTCATTTGTTTAAACTCAGTGCTTGGTGCTACTCCCATGAATTTTAGCTATATTTATTGCAGGTTTTTAGAAATGTGTGTTAGAAGTTATGTGTGCCTAATTCTGAAAATGGCTTTTTGTACGTTAAAACTCATTTAATCACTGATGATTAGAGGAAGATTGAGAGACTTTAAGTTATTGGTCATTATGTTAAGATAAAGGAAAGGCATGGGACTTTCTTTTACTGCAGGCATGTAAGATGCTGTGGTGTCAACCTCTCTTGATCACTAGCAATGTTGCAGTTTGATATGTCTTTATTAGTTAAGATATAGAGAAGATGTGTTTAGTCATAAAAAGAAAATCAGTGTCCAGTGTGCAGAGGTAGTAAAGTAATAGGGCAAGCACGTCCAATTGGATTTTCATAGGAGGATTGATTTGTGTGCATTACTGGATCTGTGTAAAATGGTGTCCTTTTGGTATAAAATGAATATAAATTTCAGTAAATGGTTTTTCTTGTTGTTAGTGTAATAGAGTGAAATTTTCTGTAACTGAGGGGAGCAGTGGTTGGGCGTCTGCTAATAGCCTGAAAGTAACTAATGAGGATGTGCAGTCGGAGCGATTGATTGAATAGCTGCAGTCCTGTGTGTTTCTCGCTTGCTCTCTCTGCAAGCTGTAGAGAGGGAGGGGGAAGAGCAAGACACAGGGAGGGAGCGAGAGAAAAAACGCTTTCTCTTAAGTGGAAGTAGCACGGATCCCAGGGGCCAGGAGGCCAGAAATGGAAGTTTAAACTGCATCTGTCTTTTAAAGGGAGAACAGCAGGAATCAAAATGTCAGTCTCCGGAGTCATGGTTTACTCCTTGTTTTTTAAGATCTGGAAGATAACACAGAATACTTTTTTTAGGATGTGGTTTTTTTTTCCTTGTCCATGTTGAGATTATCTAATGATATCTGAGAAGCTGGATTCCTATATGTCTGTCAGTTGCAGTGGAGATGGGAAGCAGTTGTGATAAAGGTATAATATGTATATATCTATCATCTGTGTGTGTCTTTATGTGCATAGATATGCATATATATATATAACTGAAAAAAATTTTAATGTAAGCTTAATATAGTGTGTAATGATTAAAATTGGAGAATAGCTTATCATTTGTAAAATCTAAAGCTGGTTAGGTCAATTTGAACAGATTTAGAATTCCAGAGTGAGATCTACTTTAGTAAGGTCATATTGCCAGAACAAGAACAAGGAGAAGCTGATCTATTTTTATATCTGCATAGGCATATATGTTATTTTATCCTGGCAGCAGTTCCTAGTCTTTCCTGTGGCCCTTTAGTTGCAGTTTGGTAAATTGTTTTCTATGCACAAAACTGAACTTTGACCTTTGTGCAAACACTATCAAATTATGTGCAACTCTAGACTCAATTCTGTATACAGAGTATAAAAAATTTCATTGGATTCTATTAGCGCCTGTATTGCTGAGAAGTAAATCCATACCCTGTGAGATGCAACTATTAAGTGAACTTTTGATATTAAATATAACTCAGGAGAAATTACTTTTTATGTGACCAGATACAGAAGTTACCACACTAAGTACAGTCTTTACTTATATCTTCAGTATCCTAACACCATAAAAAAAACAAATTATATAGAAATAGAATTTAATGTACCCTTAAAGCAGACTGATTTTTTTTTTAAAGAAAAAAAATTTGTTCACAATTTAGTGGAACGACCTTAATCTGGATTCTTAATGATGATGCTTCATTTCCAGAGGTGCCGGCAGAAAGGTCCCCCCGTAGACGGAGTATCTCAGGGACCAGTACATCAGAGAAAACCAACTCCATGGACACTGCAAATACCTCACCCTTCAAAGTACCAGTAAGTATATTCTCTTAAGAATATTTCACTTTGCTCCTGTCTTAGAGTTAAAAACAGTAACTGAGGGATCAAAATGTTTGCCCCTCAAAAATTTCTTTACTGAGGTTAAAAGACAGAATTATCAACTTGTACACATTAACTGTGTTTAATGTCCACTATTTTTAATGTAAGGTGTATTAGGATATTACTTTTACTTGTGGGGTATTTCCAAATTTATTATATATATATAACTTATTATATATATATGGATAGATAGATAGATAGGTAAGATAGATTGATTCAAATTCCTCTGAAGTATAAAGTACAAATCTTTGCAGGCTGCCCTTTTATTAAGTTACTAGCTTAACTTTCATAGTTATTTTAAAATGCTGGTGGATTTACTTTTATTCTTAGGAATAGGAATAGAAATTTAATTGTTTTTTCCAGAGCTGGAGCTTAAACAGAGAACGATGAAACTCATAAAGTTGCAGAGCAGAGCATAAGACAGGCAGTTGTGAGTTCTAATCCAGAAATTTGGCCTGTGCTTGCTTAAATAATCTTTTAAATGATCATCTAAGTGCTTAAGAAATATGCTGGAAAAAATACTCCAATTGAAAATTTTCTTCAAACTCATGAAGCTGTACTGAGTCAGTATTAAATGTGGAGAATGCCACAGGGGAGAGCTGTAAGTGATCAGCTCAGCTGCCCACCAGTTGCAGGTCTGCTTTGAAACTTTTATATGATTCTGAGTAACCAGATTTTAACTCATATGTTTTCTCTGTTTGTTGAAGAAGAAATATATTTACTACCTAATCATATAATTTTACTAGAATTCATTGTTTCTACACTTGAAAAAATTTACTTTCATGAAGTTCATCATTATGGTATATTGGTATAAAGTAGAAATAGACTTTACTACTAGGGAAAAAAAAGTTTTTCTTTTAATTCTGTCAAGTCAATATATTGTATTTTTTCTTTAATTATCTATTCCAATGCTGTAATATTTAAGTGGGAATGATATTTTAAGAGAAACTGACATTTTAAAAGTATATAACCTGGTATTCACTTGTAAGTTAACCAGAATGAATGTTTTATTTTGACTTAATCCTGGAGGAAAATATTTCCCCTTATTATATTCCAATAGCTTACAGAGTTTGTGGTTATCTGTTACAGTGAAACCTTTGAAATTTTACAAATTTGCTAATTTTTAAAGATTGTAATGAAATTATGACAAAAAAGACAGAGAAAATGAAAAGAAAGGAGTTGTAAGGATAAGGACAAACAGCCTTACATTTATTACTAGCCCTTAAGGATACCACTGTACTACAGGAGAGATGGATAATTGGCATTGGTAGTAATGATCCTGAATCATTGAGAAGAAGTGAAATTTTATTTGTTATATTCAGCTTTTCAAAAAGTGGAACTGTGTGATGTGTTCCCATTGAGAATATTTAGTCTTTAAGACATGTAATGCTTATAACAACAACAAAAAAAATTGGGTTGGTAAAGTAGTTCATCCTTTAATAATGTTAGATAAATAATTTATATTCTTTTAAGAAAAAACAAAATATGCTGACTAAATGAGGTACTGCATTACTTGGATATCTGTGAAACCATGTTGTATTTCTTCAATGCCCATATACTAACTCCTAATGTGACTTAAATGTATTGCAAATATGAAGGATATGTAGTGTTTAGATTAACACAAAATATTTTTGCAATTAATATCACAGTAGATTCTGAATCCATGGAAAAGAGTATAAAAAGAAACCAAACTTTGAGACATTACAGTTATTTATATAGTATTTTAAAGATTATAATTTCCCTGTTAACTTTACAGATTTCCATGCTAACTTTAAGTGCAGGTTCTGTGTTTCTAGGACTAAGTGTCTTTACTATGGTAAATAGAAAGTACAGTAATCGGGTAGACTCATAAAGGAGTTAATAGTAGACTCGCCAAAAGGGGCTTTTTCTTCCCATTTTCTGGCTTACTGAGAACAGATGAAATAGATTCTGGCAGGCCTTGATTGAGTTATTGACAATAACACAATTATTGAATGTTTGCTTTGGGCAAAGCATTGGCGATTACCAAATTTTTTAAAGGTTTACTTTATAGATGCAAGAACTGGGGTACAGGCCAGAGGTTTGGGGGTGGGGGCTGAGAGAACTCACCAGAGACAGAGTGGGGAACAGAACAGATTGACTGAAATACACTGCTGAGGGGAGCAGCAGGCGAGACAGGAAAGGTCTGAACCATGTAGGTTAGCTCCCTGGCTGGGAATCATACTCAGGCATCAGTGGCTACAGGTAGCTTCATAGTGCTGCAACTTAACCCCTTCCTTGCCACCAGGGAGGCCCCTGACTACCAAATTTTATTGACACCATCTTGGCACTACCAGTGGTACTGGAGAAAAACAAATGAACATAACAGAATATTCTACTACCAAAGGACTACCAAAGATCTAGTTGCAAGAGACAGAAAAATTACTAGATTCTTAAGAATGTAGATTAATAGTGGTAACATACATTTTGAACAAAGAGGAACTGGTGCTGAACTTAAAAGACTGAATATAAGTAATTGACAGGGAAAGAAGAGCATTCCAGGCTGCAGGAATAACATGTTGGAAAGGCACACTTCATAAGGTGATTGATTGAATGTAAAAACAGGTTCAGAGAGGCAGAAATCAAAAACCAAGTAGGCAAAAATGGCAAGAGCAAGCTGGAAAGGAAGGTTGGGGCAAGACTGTAAGTCAGGTTGTTTATCAAGCTGAACTAAATTTTGCTAGCTACGAAAACATTAGAAATTTGTTCATGGAACTATTTGTCTTGGCTCAAAAATAAAGTCAAGTTGTACAAATACTGTGAAATATTGGTGAATTAGATGACTCTTGCCCAAGAGGGTTTTGCTTGTTTGTTTTCCATTTCAACTCAAGTTGAGAAGCAAAGTGCTGTCATTCAATAGCGGCCCATTCCAGCACCCATCCCTGGTTCTCAGCTAGCACTGCTGCTAGGTGTAGAGGGTGGTTAACCTTACCGAGGAGAAGCCAGTGGGGAAAGGGAGTTCTTACCTTACTGACAACATTGAAAAAGGCATAAAAGAAGTACTAAAGCAGTAGCCCAAATCAGGGAAGCCCAAAACCTTTGTATATCTTCCTCATCCACAAAAGTTTATACTTTCACAGACTTGAAATGGATAATCAGTACAGCAATGCATTCAGGTATATATTCCTTAATCTAAACTTTTGCTATGCATGTGGTAGGCAACAGAGTTTAATATTGAGGGTCTAAGAAATGAACAGCAAAGAGCAAACTTATGTGGACACAGAACCTGTAGGTTGGCAAGGTCTTGGGTTTTAGGATATTTTAATGTATTTGTAATTTATCTGAGCATAGCCATTAGAAGCAGAGATCTGAGGATAGATTTTTCTGTTCTTCCTCTACTCTCACTCCTTATTTCTTCGCCTTAATTCCAGTTGCAATTATTTATAGTCTATCACCCCTCATTAGTCAATAAATATCACTTAAAGTCAGCTTTGTAGCTACCCCAATTCTAAACACAGTACCTAGTATATAGTAAGCACTCAATAATTAATTATTGAGTAGATAAAAATAAGCATGAATTATCAAAGGACCAGGACCCAGTGTCTCTCACACTTAATTCTCTTGGTGTTAGTGATAATATAGCTAGTCGAATGGATTACTTTAACATTTAATAACCTCAAGAGATCATTTGTAGTAGATGCTTATACCTGTACAGAATAGTTATATTTTTCCACAGTAGACATTTTAAGTTATCTTTGGAATTGAGGGCTATGGTATTTTTTTATATATAGTATACTGTGTCTGTTAAGAAGTGAAACTAGTTAAAATTCTATATTTAATGATTTGTTTCCTTAAGTACTTTAGGTCTCATATACATATAAGCTCACAATACTTGTGTACATCTGAGTTTTGACTTTGATTCTTCAATGACAATTTTAATGAGTTAAGTAATATTTGAGTAACTCTTTTCAAAGATCCTATTTTTTATTTTTTCTTTAATAGCATGCTAGAATTTTTGCCTTTGTGATATTTGAGTTTTCCTTTAAATAAAACATCCATTGTATGTTTTATACATTGTTAAATGGCTTTTAAATAGTATAGAACAATTAGGAAGAAATGAATAAACTAATGAAAAGTTATCTAACTACTTAAATTCAGTTCAAAAAGGGAAAATGATCACATCTTATAATTGTATATATTTATTTCACATTGCCTGAGTTTTTGGAACAGGCCGCTTTCTTTAATAGTCTATTTATAAAGTGACTATTGATATTTATGGTTTTGTATCTTTTCTCCTTAGATGATGCCATTAATTTAGCTTTAGTTAAAAAGGAAGCAGCTTGTGTTCTGGGCCAGGTGCTCAGCTTAGTGTTCTCATTTCCATCACACAATGGTCTGAGTTGGCCTTCCATGTGAATATAACACAATGCAGTTGCAGCTGCTTCATTTGTATTAGCTTTGAGCTTGGCTCTAAAAGAATTCAGGCACTAAAATATATGCCAAGACAACCAGAATGCATAGTTGAACTAAGGCAGTAGATCACTGTTCTTGTGTAACCCTCCTTGTCTCTTGCACAGTGACACCTGAGCATTCCTAGTCAGATACCAGGTGAAGAACACTGTCAAAAGACAGAGCCTTTGTATAGTTTGTAGACCAACTAAAGCTATGAAAGAATAAATGTTAAACTATATTAAATTCCTATGTGAAAAGAAACACGTCCTTTCTTAATTATTGCAATATCTGATTCTATATTTGGTTGATATTATTAGTTTTCAGTAGAACCCTCAGTAAGAACCACAATACAGTCTTTTTCATTTTTCCAAGTTAAAACAAAGAGACAGAAAGTTTAACGGTAGCAGAGACAGAAAGCTTAATGGCCACTTAATAAAAACCAGAAAGCCCTCAAGGTCTAAACCAGTGGCTGTACCACTCTGGCTACACATAAAAATCACCTATAAAACTTCAAAAATAAATACTAA